ATCCCCAATAAATCCTGCAAAAAAATGCCCCAAAATCCTCAATAAAACCTGCAAAAAATGCCCCAAAATCCCCAATAAATCCTGCAAAAAAATGCCCCAAAATCCTCAATAAAACCTGCAAAAAATGCCCCAAAATCCCCAATAAATCCTGCAAAAAAATGCCCCAAAATCCTCAATAAAACCTGCAAAAAATGCCCCAAAATCCCCAATAAATCCTGCAAAAAAATGCCCCAAAATCCTCAATAAAACCTGCAAAAAATGCCCCAAAATCCCCAATAAATCCTGCAAAAAAATGCCCCAAAATCCTCAATAAAACCTGCAAAAAATGCCCCAAAATCCCCAATAAATCCTGCAAAAAAATGCCCCAAAATCCTCAATAAAACCTGCAAAAAATGCCCCAAAATCCCCAATAAATCCTGCAAAAAAATGCCCCAAAATCCTCAATAAAACCTGCAAAAAATGCCCCAAAATCCCCAATAAATCCTGCAAAAAAATGCCCCAAAATCCTCAATAAAACCTGCAAAAAATGCCCCAAAATCCCCAATAAATCCTGCAAAAAAATGCCCCAAAATCCTCAATAAAACCTGCAAAAAATGCCCCAAAATCCCCAATAAATCCTGCAAAAAAATGCCCCAAAATCCTCAATAAAACCTGCAAAAAATGCCCCAAAATCCCCAATAAATCCTGCAAAAAAATGCCCCAAAATCCTCAATAAAACCTGCAAAAAATGCCCCAAAATCCCCAATAAATCCTGCAAAAAAATGCCCCAAAATCCTCAATAAAACCTGCAAAAAATGCCCCAAAATCCCCAATAAATCCTGCAAAAAAATGCCCCAAAATCCTCAATAAAACCTGCAAAAAATGCCCCAAAATCCCCAATAAATCCTGCAAAAAAATGCCCCAAAATCCTCAATAAAACCTGCAAAAAATGCCCCAAAATCCCCAATAAATCCTGCAAAAAAATGCCCCAAAATCCTCAATAAAACCTGCAAAAAATGCCCCAAAATCCCCAATAAATCCTGCAAAAAAATGCCCCAAAATCCTCAATAAAACCTGCAAAAAATGCCCCAAAATCCCCAATAAATCCTGCAAAAAAATGCCCCAAAATCCTCAATAAAACCTGCAAAAAATGCCCCAAAATCCCCAATAAATCCTGCAAAAAAATGCCCCAAAATCCTCAATAAAACCTGCAAAAAATGCCCCAAAATCCCCAATAAATCCTGCAAAAAAATGCCCCAAAATCCTCAATAAAACCTGCAAAAAATGCCCCAAAATCCCCAATAAATCCTGCAAAAAAATGCCCCAAAATCCTCAATAAAACCTGCAAAAAATGCCCCAAAATCCCCAATAAATCCTGCAAAAAAATGCCCCAAAATCCTCAATAAAACCTGCAAAAAATGCCCCAAAATCCCCAATAAATCCTGCAAAAAAATGCCCCAAAATCCTCAATAAAACCTGCAAAAAATGCCCCAAAATCCCCAATAAATCCTGCAAAAAAATGCCCCAAAATCCTCAATAAAACCTGCAAAAAATGCCCCAAAATCCCCAATAAATCCTGCAAAAAAATGCCCCAAAATCCTCAATAAAACCTGCAAAAAATGCCCCAAAATCCCCAATAAATCCTGCAAAAAAATGCCCCAAAATCCTCAATAAAACCTGCAAAAAATGCCCCAAAATCCCCAATAAATCCTGCAAAAAAATGCCCCAAAATCCTCAATAAAACCTGCAAAAAATGCCCCAAAATCCCCAATAAATCCTGCAAAAAAATGCCCCAAAATCCTCAATAAAACCTGCAAAAAATGCCCCAAAATCCCCAATAAATCCTGCAAAAAAATGCCCCAAAATCCTCAATAAAACCTGCAAAAAATGCCCCAAAATCCCCAATAAATCCTGCAAAAAAATGCCCCAAAATCCTCAATAAAACCTGCAAAAAATGCCCCAAAATCCCCAATAAATCCTGCAAAAAAATGCCCCAAAATCCTCAATAAAACCTGCAAAAAATGCCCCAAAATCCCCAATAAATCCTGCAAAAAAATGCCCCAAAATCCTCAATAAAACCTGCAAAAAATGCCCCAAAATCCCCAATAAATCCTGCAAAAAAATGCCCCAAAATCCTCAATAAAACCTGCAAAAAATGCCCCAAAATCCCCAATAAATCCTGCAAAAAAATGCCCCAAAATCCTCAATAAAACCTGCAAAAAATGCCCCAAAATCCCCAATAAATCCTGCAAAAAAATGCCCCAAAATCCTCAATAAAACCTGCAAAAAATGCCCCAAAATCCCCAATAAATCCTGCAAAAAAATGCCCCAAAATCCTCAATAAAACCTGCAAAAAATGCCCCAAAATCCCCAATAAATCCTACTCTGTGTCCCTCCATGGTGGCCCGTGTCACTCTGTGTCCCTCCATGGTGGCCCGTGTCACTCTGTGTCTCTCCATGGTGGCCCGTGTCACTCTGTGTCTCTCCGTGTCACTCTGTGTCTCTCTGTGTCACTCTGTGTCCCTCCGGGCTGACCCGTGTCACTCTGTGTCTCTCCGTGCTGACCCGTGTCACTCTGTGTCACTCTGTGTCTCTCCGTGTCACTCTGTGTCTCTCCATGGTGACCCGTGTCACTCTGTGTCTCTCCGTGTCACTCTGTGTCTCTCCGTGGTGACCCGTGTCACTCTGGGTCTCTCTGTGTCACTCTGTGTCCCTCCGGGCTGACCCGTGTCACTCTGTGCCTCTCCGTGTCACTCTGTGTCTCTCCGTGGTGGCCCGTGTCACTCTGTGTCTCTCTGTGTCACTCTGTGTCTCTCTGTGTCACTCTGTGTCTCTCCGGGCTGACCCCACCGTAGGGGTGACCCCAGCCATGACCCCCCTATGACCCCGTGTCCCCCTGCTGTCCCCTCTGTGCCAGCCCAGCCCACGCCAGGGGTCACTGGCTGCTGTGACATCATCCAGAGCCTCCCCCAGTGACGTCACACCCAGCACGGTGACGTCACATCCACCACAGTGACGTCACGCCCGGCACTGTGACGTCACGCCCAGCACTGTGACGTCACACCCAGCACTGTGACGTCACACCCGGCACTGTGACGTCACGCCTGGCACCGTGACATCACACCCAGCGCCGTGATGCCACCACTGGTGCCATGCCCCGCCCCCATCGCAGCTGGCACTGTGACCTCACAGGTGACACCACAGGTGACATCGGAGGTGACCTCACAGGTGACCTCACAGGTGACACCACAGGTGACATCGGAGGTGACCTCACAGGTGACCTCACAGGTGACACCACAGGTGACATCGGAGGTGACCTCACAGGTGACCTCACAGGTGACACCACAGGTGACCTCACAGGTGACGTCCCTGCGGTTCCCACCAGCCCGACATTCCTCCTTTGGGTGCCTCCCGAATTCGGGGGTGCCCGTGTCACCTGTGTCCCCTGGGGTGGGGTGACACCTGAACTCTGCTCTGTCCCCCAGGTGAGGAGGGAGGTGACACCGAAATTCGGGGGTGCCCTGGGACACCTGTGTCCCCTTGGGTGCGGGTGACACCTGAACTCTGCTCTGTCCCCCAGGTGAGGGTGACATCCCTGCGGTTCCCACCAGCCCGACATTCCTCCTTTGGGTGCCTCCCGAATTCGGGGGTGCCCGTGTCACCTGTGTCCCCTGGGGTGGGGGTGCCACCCGAATTCCGGGGTGCCCTGGGACACCCGTGTCCCCTGGGGTGGGGTGACACCAGAATTTTGGGGTGTCATAGGACACCTGTGGCCCCTGGGGTGGGGTGACACCTGAACTCTGCTCTGTCCCCCAGGTGAGGAGGGAGGTGACACCGAAATTCGGGGGTGCCCTGGGACACCCGTGTCCCCTTGGGCAGGGATGACACCAGAATTTTGGGGTGTCATAGGACACCTGTGGCCCCTGGGGTGGGGTGACACCTGAACTCTGCTCTGTCCCCCAGGTGAGGAGGGAGGTGACACCGAAATTCGGGGGTGCCCTGGGACACCTGTGTCCCCTTGGGTGCGGGTGACACCTGAACTCTGCTCTGTCCCCCAGGTGAGGACAGAGGTGACACCCAAATTCCAGAGTTTCCTGTCACATCTGTGTCCCCTCGGGTGGGGGTGGCACCGAAATTTTGGGGTGCCCTGGGACACCCGTGTCCCCTCAGGCAGGGATGACACCCAAATTTTGGGGTCTCCTGGGACACCTCTGTCCCCTTGGGCGGGGATGACACCCAAATTTTGGGGTGCCATAGGACACCTGTGTCCCCTGGGGTGGCGGTGACACCCAAATTCTGTTCAGTCCCCCGGGCAAGGACAGGGGTGCCACCCGCGTTCCGGGGTGCCGTGTCACCCGTGTCCCCTGGGGCGGGGGTGCCACCCGCGTTCCGGGGTGCCGTGTCACCCGTGTCCCTGGGGCGGGGGTGCCACCCGCGTTCCGGGGTGCCGTGTCACCCGTGTCCCTGGGGCGGGGGTGCCACCCGCGTTCCGGGGTGCCCCGGGCCGTGCCCCGAAACCCGCGTCCCCCCGGGCGAGGGCGGCGGCGGCACCGGAGCCGCTGGAGCCGAACGGAGCCCGGGGGGAAGGGCGGGCCCTGTCCCCTCCCGAGGGGACAGCCCGGGGGAGGGACGCGCTGCCACCCGCGCTGCCACCCGCGCTGCCACACGGCCGCGGTGGCACCGGCAGCGACACCGAGGGACAGGTGAGGGACAGGGGAGGGACACGGGAGGGACACGGGGGGTCCGGAACAGCCCGGGGTGGGCAGGGGGCACAAAGATCCTAGATCCCAGCCAGGGTGGGCAGGGGGCACCGAGCCCCCCAGGGTGGGCAGGGGGCACAAAAATCCCAGCCAGGGTGGGCAGGGGGCACAAAGATCCCAGCCAGGGTGGGCAGGGGGAGACCAAAACCCCCCCAGGGTTGGGCAGGGGGCACAATCTCCCCCCCCCACCCCAGGTGTGATCCCCGGGGACCCCCGACCTTCCCCCCAAAAAGGGCCCCGGAGCTGTTGGGGGCGGGGGTCGCGGCCCGGGGCCGATGCGGATTTTGGGGAGGGGTCTCTGCTGCTCCAGAGCCCCCCCGGTTTGAGCCATGATGGGCACGGGGGACAGCGGGGGACCGCGCAGCCCCCCCGGGCTGGCACAGGTGAGGGGGGACCCCAGGGACCCCCGGGGGGGGGGTGACACTGGGGGGCTCAGGGGGCGC